CCCCGGCCTGCCCCCGTGGCAGGGGGCCTCCAGCCCTCGGAGCATGATATTCCTGCAGAGCCTCCTGCCAAGGCCATTCCCGCAGCAGTTCCTTGCCCTCTCAGACCTGCTGGTTCCACCAAGGGCAGCCAGAAAGCCACCAAGGCAGGTGACAGAAGCGCAGGTGTGGGGAAGGAGAGCACTGCTGCCTCCATTCCGACAGGCATTCGGTGTTGGAAGGACCAGTGGTTAAACGGCGCAGAGCAGTGCAGAGACCATTTAACAGCGCAGACACTTTTGTGGAGCAATAAAAGGATGGAAATAAAATGAACAGATTAATCTTCCACTGCGTGTCCCGCCGCCGCCAAGAGACAGGTGCTGACGGGGCAATGGGACGAGGAGCAATCTACGCCCGTGCTACAATCGTATTTCAGCAGACCCCGGCTTACCTCGGTGATAAGGGATTTCAGGAAGTTGGCCTTGTGCCGCAGCGGGTCGTGAACGAGCCCATCGCAGAAGGAGACGATCCCGTGGGGGAAGTTGTGCTGTGCTAACCACGCTACCACCCTCTGCTTCTGCATATCGGGGCGGCCCGTGACGTAGATAATGAGGTAGCCGAGGTCTTGCCAGTGCCTAGAAGGAAAGGCACAAGTCAACGGAGAGCAGACCTCGACCCAGCGTCAAACAAACCGACCGACCCAGCCGCTGACCTTACGACGTCGACCGCTCCGGCCCGGACTTTGGGGTCGCTGCCCATGATGGAGACGCTGGCTGCAAAGGAGCCGTCGATGCTGAACACCACGAACTCCGTCCCCTTCGGCAGGACCGTGATGTAGCTGTCTGCATACGTGTGGTCGCCCCTGAAAGGGATGCGGGTACTTGTAGAGAGTCAGGAGGTAGCACCGCGTCTGGCAGCGCACCACAAACCCAAAGCAACACTCAAACCTGGCCCAAAGGCGCTAACAGCGATGCCACCCTCAGTTAGTGATGGACACCACGTGCGGGCCACTGTGTTAAAGTGGGGATGGAAACACTCCAAAGCCCTGCTGTCAGTGCCTCAAAAGAATAAAATACCCCCAAAACCCATTGCTGCGTTCACCACTGAGAAGATGGTCCCTCCTCCCCCTTCCAGAGCTCAGCACCAGCAACTGGAGCTGAGCTGAAGCCCCTGGGCTGCGAATTATCACAAGTACAAAGTTCTGTTCCTCAAGGGCAAGTTTATGGTCTTTAAAATACGCCCAGTTGTGCAGTTTTGCAGGTGATCGCGAGGCCTCTGTGGTGCAGAAGGGCTGCTCCTGCAACGGGAGCTCAATCACCATCCCGGTGATGATGCAGGAGTTAGAACAAAACGCGGATCTTCCTCGTAGAGCTGCGGAGTACAAATGGCTTTGTCCCTGCTGCTGGCAAACCGGGCTCTGAACCCACCCAGTGATCAGAGCTGCCGCACTGGGAGAGGGACCATACTCTACAGCCATCGTGTCCCTCTTGCAAACGAAGCCAGGGCAGCGCAGGGGACCTCACCTGACCACCATCTTCACGGGGTACACGCCGATGCCAAGGCGCCGGTTCTCAGGGATGACGTAGGAAATCCTGCCGCTGCTGTTGCTGATCTCCGTGTCGAAGTAAACCCACTCCCCGGAGGGCGGCTGGGTCATGATGTGAATGTCCACCTGGGGAGACGGCGAGGCTGGATCAACAACAGCACCGAAGACAGGGACAAGTAGAAGAGGCGCGGGGATGGTCCACCCAAGCCCCTTTCGCCCTCCGCGCTTCACAGGTCTGAGCCGAGAAGCACCCGGACATCAGGATGCTGGAAGGAATCCGGCCACGGTGGTGGAGACCTCCACCACAAACGCTGCTCCTGCCAGGAGGCACCAACAACTCTGAGCAGGGGAACCTGGCCAAGCCACGAGGGTCACAAACCCTGTCCAGGACCAGGGCGGTACAGCCCCTATCCCACTCCCCGTCCCCCCGGCGGTGCGCGACCCCCAGAGCAGACAGTACCTTCTCGCCCGTGAGCGTGACCATATCTAACGGACCGTACATAAATCTTCCCGTTAAGGTCTGGGGCCCATCCTCGTTAGCAATGGTGTCATTTATCCGGTGGTTGGCTGTGACGTTCTGCACCAGTCAAGGGGGAAAGGGGAATAAAAAAGAGACGGACAAGAGTTTGGAGCGACAGGCAGTGCCAAATACAACCCGACAAAGTGGCATGAGGGTTGCTCCCTACGTGCCATTCTGAGACCGTCTGTTAACTCTCACTTTGGGTTTAAGAGACAAGATGAGCAGCTGCCAGAGAAATGTGCTGATGCTGCTCCAGCTCTAACAGGGAATTGCCCTCTTTCGGGAATTGCAGACATTTCCTGGGAGCGAAGGGCATTTACGGAGCAGAGAACTTGCATTGTTGGACTTTGAAAGACATTCGGTCCCTTGCCCTGACCCACGGCCAACACTTTATTTCCTACAGATTCAAGGCCAAGAGGAGGCCTTGCTGGTGCAGACCTTTTGGGTCACTCTTTCGCAGCTACCCGGGTAGGATATAATCGCTAATCACTACACAATCACCAGCAGTGCAGTGTGATCCTGTCTCTGCCGTGGACAGACACAGCCGTGCCCACGCTGGCCGCCTCCAGTCCCATTCCTGCAGCCCAAATGGAAACCCCTCTACACGACAGCACAGAGCCAGCCCCAAAACCACCCTTACCCGGAGCTTCACGTGCGTCCTCTTGCGGAGCCACTTCTCGCGGGGCTTGGAGGGGGTGAAGACGGACACCTCCTTCCCATCCAGCTCCAGAACGCTCGCGTTCTCGTGCCTCATCACCTGTGGGAGGACAGAGCCCATGGAGACATCAGCCACTTGGACCTGTCTCCTCCAAACATGGGTTTTCTGCTGTTCCCATACCAGATCCGGCACTGGCTGCTCTGATGGTCTCATGCCAGCGGGTGCCGTTCCCTCAGCTCCTTATTTCTTTTTGAACACATTTTGGACAGTTCCTGTCCCATGGCTTTTGCCCCTCTCATTGTAAGGAGAGACAGAACCATTGATTTGACCCTTGCGGCGACACACAGGTGTCCAGGCTCGGCCACGCGCGAGGCAGAGCTCAGCGTGTCTGTCCGTCTGTCCTGACCTCATCTCTGAGACCGACAGAGCTCAAGGACTCTGTGCCAGTGGGATGTCACCGCACCCAGATCAGAGAAGGGGCAAGACGATGCCCAGCAGCCAGCCTTTGGGGCAATTCCTGCATGTCCCCAGGGCATAAGCAAGGATGGAGAAGCAGGAACCTGGAAAGAGGAAGGTTAGATCCTACCCAGATCGCTCGTAAGCTCCAGGAGGCAAAAGGAAGAATAACCCCCAAGGGCGAGGGGGCACCTTGAAGCCTCCTGCAAGGCTGGGGGGTGACCCTGCTCGGAGAACTCGGAAACCAGCAGCAGTCCTTGGTTAACCCAATCCCGCCAAAATTTCAAGAAGGTTCTTAAACGTGGGCTCTTTTAGAAGGCCTTGAACACACTGTGTGTGTGAGCAGCTCCCAGCTGACCCGGGCTGCAGTGCGCGGACCCAGGCCGGCTTGCCCCGCAGCGCTGAGGCCGGTTTTCTTCCAGGGAAACGGAAAAAGGATCCCAGGGAGGATGGGCTTGCTGGGGAGGGAGCTTGTGGAAACCCAAGGTAAACAAACTAACAAGTTTCACTGAAAGTTATTTAAATCAGGAATCTGTTTCGAGGCTTTTTTTAACAAGACTTGATCTTTGGAGGCTAAAACTACTCGACAGCTTACTTTTACATTTTGTCTTTCAAAGGCAATGAGAAACAAGCCCTTGTCTGGGGAAGAAGTGTCATGGTGCTCGGGGGGTCAGCGAGAGGATGGGGGATGAGAAAATCCCCCATCTCAAGGCACAGAGGAGTGAGTAGAGAGAGACACTGGGTGAGGGGAGGGTGCCAGACCACCAGGGAGGGTCTGAAGGGCTGCAGAGGTACCTCAAGCCCTAAGATACGAGGCACCCCACTGTGCTACTGACCCAGGTTTGGGCTGAATCCCGAGTAATCGGCTATTTCTTGAGCAGAGCATTTTGTGTAGGAGACTGTCACATCTGTTCCCACTCAGGCCCAATTACGGCTCTCTCCCTCTCTCTCTCCAGCCCCGTTAGGCTGAGTTCAATGCGGCGCTGGGGCTTCACAGCAGCTGATCCAGCAAGGTGTGTGCAAGCACGGAGACGTCTCGCTGGGCTAGATACAGCCTGGGAAGAAAGGGTCTCGCTGGATTATCGCTGCCGCTCAGCTGCCACCAGCACCGCCGTCGCTGTAGTTTATGGCTCCCACACGATTTGGAAGCTAGCGCTGAAAGGAAGTTTGCCAACAGCATCATAAATAATTGAGCGCTGCAGGCGAGGGGGCTGGAAGAGAGCGGGGACGGCTTAACAGCTGAGCTAACACAAAGCCAACCCAAGCGCCCAAGCGGGCTACGCAATCCACAGAGTTGCTTTTAGTTTTGGTTTGTTTTCCAATTCCATGCTCTAAGTACCGTTCCTTTCGGGGTTCATACTTCGTAAGGCAAATAACTCCCCCGCATCCCCAAGGAACTGAAGGAAAAACATTTATCTTAGGAAAAACAGATTCTAAACAGTAAATTCAAATTTCAGGCCAAACGTAGGTTGCTAGTCTGAGATGTCAGACTCCAGACACCAGCCATCCCCATTTCCCTAGTCCCTGGAGAACTGCTTTGTATTGGAGGAACAAGGACTAAATCCCAATGCGGTGACGATGGTCTGAGTTCCTAGAGGAGACCGCGCTAACTTCCAGAGCCAAAACACAGAACAGAATTCTATCAACTCCTGTCACGTCCATACAAAACCTCTCCCTTGGTTTACTCTGTTTGGTGCTGGTTTTATTTGTACACTGAGAAGTTTCCTTCAAGTTTCCGACTTGAGATCCAAACCTGCACGCACGGAGAACAGCTCGCTTCAACGCGGAGAACAGCTCGCTTCAACGAACGAGTGCCACCGCCTTTGCCACCGAGATGTGATGGGAAACGGCCCTGGGCTCACCCCACGGCTCCTTGGCGAGCCTGTCTGAAACCTCCTGACGATAAACCCCGGACCAAACCGAACCAGGCGCAACAGTTCACGTCCACGGAGTTTCTGTGGGTGCGGCTCTGCTAACCACACAGGTGAGGAACAGAAAGAAGGGGAAGAAAAGGCATCTGCAGCGGCAAAGGATATTTTGTCCATCTCCATGCATCCACGCGAGCGCAGTGGAAAACCAAAGAGCCCCAAATACTTCTCAGCCCACGGGAGAGCGGGGAGGGAGGATGACCCTACCTGT